TTTTGCCGGAGAGCTTGGCCAACGTGCTGTGTGAATGCCTCCGATCACAGCTATCATTGGGACTATGGCGAGTGTGACTAAAGCTAACTGCCAAACGGCTGTGAAACCTACCACAAACCCAGACAACGAATGTAGCCATGTAGTGAATGAAATTACCCAGCTGCGCATAAAGCAAGCACCGAGTATTATCATGAATAGAAACAGAGATGAACAAGATGAACAGTCAATTAAGAAGACAGGCGCTTCACCTTCTCCGCTAATGGCATCTTGGACCATCACATCACAGCATCAGTGTTAATGGCATAAACAACGTCGGACGTTCGAACCTCGGTGTCAAAATACTGAATATCCTGGTTCAAGGCGGCTTCGGGTACTTTATTTCTCATTTTCGTCGCTGCCTCTCTCCAGTCCACATCCAGCACGATATCTCTGCGACAAAACCCAGTTGTTCTAGCAACATTCACGCCACTATAAACCAAAAAACCCCCTCCCGAAAGACCATGTCCAGAGAACTCACCTGCCCACGAGGATGCCCATATAGCAGCACCCACCACCAAGAAGTAAAATGCGTACTGCAAAATACCACAAATACAAGGCTTCAATACACAACGCATTCATTCCATATCATAAAGTATCTTCTTGCTGTGACTGCGTTACCTTGACGACTTCTCGGGTCATCTTGTCCACATCATTGGCATTGGACCCGAAAGAATTCACAAGATCAGCGAAAAACCGAAGAAACAGAGGCAGAGAACAGCCATGCACAATTGCCCCCACCGTTCCAATTCCCATTAGAATGTAATCTAATCCATCGGCGAATCGGAAAAGCTCGCCGAATCCGACGGGCGGAACAGTGTCAGGCTTGTCTCCGCCGTCTTTCTTGGGCTCAGAGATTTCCATGTCCCTGCGTTCTCCTCTGGTGGCTTCCTCTGCGTGGGAGTCTCTGTTTTCTGCCGTCGAGTCGGAAAGAGGAGCAGGGGGCACAAGCTCAAGGCCTTGCATTTCGGACCATTTCCAGTGCTCAGTGGTTTTTATCTCCTCAGAATCTTGTGACATTTGCAAGAATCCTTAGCTTTATCAACGACTTCCAACTCCCTCTTTATTATCTCACACGCCTTACCTGGCTTTTCAGCTCATGTTTCTGATGCTTACTTTTTCTAATCTCTCGGGGAATATTTAAATATTATCTGTCCTGTGATTTCACTCCTTCATCATTCTCCAGTATTGTTGTTCATAATGGAGTGATCGTGGTGTGGAGCGTTGAATATTTATCTAGGAAGAGTGGGAGAGGTTAATTTTCGGATTGCTTCATCAGTAAAAAAGGAACTTGGAAAGAGACAGATGGTGAGAAGCGAGACACCGAAATTTCGGGGGCATGGAGAGAGAAAGTTTGATTTTCCACCCGACAAAGGATACTGTGTGAAACCTGGAATATATGGGTTTTTGACCGGAACGAATTCAAATCAAGTATAAAAAATAAAGAAGAAAGAAACACTTAAAATCTTTTTTTTTTTTTTAACTTTTTCATGTGTAAATAGCCTTTTGACGACCATCGAGATCCAGTGTTCAGGCTTGGCTTCTACTTCAAGTTAATTTGCTTTCCATGTCTCCTCCATGTCCGCCGGTTCATTCTGAAATACATGGAAGGGACAAGATATGTTGGGTAACATACGAAGAAATGGAACTAATTATGCATTTCTCCTCTTTTAAGAAAATTATTTTGAAAGTTCAGGAAAAACCTTAATATCGAGCACTATGAAAACCAACTCAAATGATTATCAAAATCTTACTAAACCAACGTCTCAGGTCCTTGTGGACCAGTCCCGTGATTCCTCCAAAATTTGATTCTTTATTGAAAATAACTTATATGTAATTTTTTAAAGGTAAAAAAAAAAAGGTAATTTAACATTGAATTAATTGTGCGAAAGTTTCTGTAAAGCAGCTTCTTACATCACGCTCTGGGTTTACTCAATATCAGCAATTTAGCTCCTTTTACTTTTCTAGTTTAATTACAGCAATGTGACTGTAATTCTGACACTGCAAATTCCCTCAAGAAGGGCTCTTTTTTATACGCCCCGTAGCATCAGGTCAATAATTAGAAGGAAACTGACATCAGCCTTATAATTTATTTTTTCCCGGAATCATGATACAGTCATCTAATAAACTATAATGTTAAACAGAGTCAACGACCCCTTAATAAAACTTAAATCAGAAAAAAAATCGTACATCACATTTCACGTTTACCAAACACTCTTTGCTTAACGCCACGCTCTGTTCATTGCCCTGGAAGAACTGGCATCCAATAATGGGGCATTCCAATTATTTGTTTTGTGTTGGAGCCAAAACAGTTGTGATTGAAGGACTGAAAGGTACTAAATTATGAGAAGTTTTATGATTTGGGGAAGGGTAACCCCTGGGGTACGTACTTGGGATGAGTAAATATATAGGCATTAGGTAGTGATGATAGGAATGAGACAAAAGAGGTAGAAAATGTGGTGGGAGAAGGAAGTGTGTGAGAGTCGAAAAACTGAGAAAAGCAAAACCACGGACGTGATTTTAATGGAGGGGACTGAAGAACCCAACAACCAGTGGCCATAAGATGTGAGGAATACGTACGTAGGTACAGTGTTATCAGATATGGAATTCTGGAAATGGAAAAGAAGGATTAAAACAGTAAATAGCAATGGAGAAAGTGATTTCAGATTCCCTCCATTCGGGGATTTTACCAGTTTGATTGCACGCACTGTGTCATTAATGGACCTCTCTGCCTCTCTCTGTCTCATTCCTACCAGCCTACCACCCACCACTACTTGCTTCAATAGTTCAACAAGTTAAATCATCCACATATTATGTTATCTGTAACAATAATTTTGATCAACAGTGAATTCTAATTAATCACATCATTTTGATTAGAAATCTTCTAACTGATGTATCGATCTCGATCGTTACTGTGTTTTTCATGTGGCGTTGTATTCACTGTTGAAAGCATATGGGTCAGGTGGTCAGGTGGATGCATGGAGGAAACCTCACTCCTCACTTATGCATAACTTGGCCTCGTTTTTACCTCTCATAAAAACTCTTTCAAAAATGCATGCGTAGGTCAAATAATTATTTGTTAATTAAATAAAAACTAACGTACAAAATTTATAAGCAAATAAATAAAAGGGTAAGGGCATGGACTTGTCAGTCAGTCGTAATCGAAATGGTGTCCAATATATGACGGCCAATGGAAGTGAAATGAAATAAGAGGGGGAGAAAGTCAAATGAACACTGATTCAGTTTGTTGAAATTTGGATGTTGCAGATAAAAGAAAGAAATAAAAGAGTCGGTGATCGAACTCGCCCGGAGAGAAATAGAAATCTAATTGAAGATTCTGGGGGCACACAGATATCTTATTCGTTCATATAAGGTTGTGAGAGAGCGTTGAACAAGTCAAAAAGAGAAACCCCAGCGTCCATCACGAGGGACCTTTCATTAATAACATTAATCATGGCTGCTCGTTTAATAATAATACACTATAGTATTTGTCATCAAGAGTAATTATTATGGGTTTTCCGTTCCAATCTGAATAGTCAATTAGTACCACTGCCATAACATTAAATTAAACTCTAACCCAACACTATATATATTTCACAAGGGCGCCAATCATGCCATTATATTGTCTCTCTTGTAATTAGCTGAATTAAACATTTGTTTTCATTTCTGTCACCATTTTTTCAAAATGGCACGCAAGCTTCTTCCACAAGACGATGGAAGGGATCGAGAGCTGAGTGTGACAAAAGCGATGACGGGCCCACCACATATAATTATCATCATCAGCTCAAAAAGAGTGGGGCAAGGTGTGGGGATGGAGACACATCAGTCTTGCTCGGGTCTACGTATTTGGAATGTCCATTTGACAATAAGTTCGTTTACGGGGCACTGAAGAGGAATATATATTATAAAAACTGGGAAAAGATCGATCCCAATTGAGTGGTCCAGGTTATGAGCTTTAGAACATCTCTCTCTCTATATATAATTTAGCTCGATGGATTCAGTGAATTGCAGGAGAAAGCACCATCTCAAGCTAAAGTAATGAGCAAGCCAACTTTCTGTAAAGTCTTCTTTCTTTCTTTATTTTATATTTCTTGAGCAGTGCAAATGACTTCGTTCAACAGTTGACATCCTATTCTGTGATTGTCATGTTCAACTAAAGTGATCACGATGCTCATTTCCTCTTCAAATTAGATTAACGTGTGGGTATATATATATTGTTAAATAATAATAACACTAATAAATATTATTACTATAGGTAATTGTTGCCTTAAAGATTAGCTTTTGCAATTAGAAGTAGAGTTAGGCACGAAGCTAGCCTGCTTTTGACTTAGCTATCGAGTATGACTGCCACAATGCAAACATTCAGATTTTGCTCCGATTTAATTTAGGTTTAACTTTTACCATCGAAGAGCCAGGCGAAAATAAAAATCTCAAGAGTCATTCCTTTTCTCTCTTCATATTCATCCATAATATGAGATGTGTACCATTCTTGATGCAGGCCGGTAATTTTATTTAAGGATGAAGCTGACAAAATTTGCAGTTTCTTCACTCTAAACAAATTCGATAAATTTATAAATGATGGTTTTGCTTATCATCTGATATGACTCAGCCGGTTCTGCATTACGTTTTGCATCGAAAAGCAAAAATAATTTCTTTATCGTGTACGAGACTTTGGATTGAAGAGCAGATTATGAAGCTCGATCATTTCTGGGGTGCGACGCTCATGATTTTGGCACACAAGCCTCAACATTTGCCAACGCGTTTGTATATCCAATTCCAAAACAGTCTTTGACGAATTAATTTGCCCCGTTTGAAAATCCCAATAAAGTTCCCACCTACCAACCCACATGAATATCGAAGCTCATATGGACTGGTAGTTTACAGACATTAATCCCTCAAATCTCACACCCTACCTTTAGCTTTAATAATTCACTCCCAACCTTTCCTTTGACAAAAGCGTACTAGCCTCTTATAATGTCAAATAATTAGATATACAAATCCCACCATTTATATATATGTGCCAATTCTTTTTCTGGCCAAATATATGTGCCAAATCACATCACAGTATTTGGATACATCGTACATATATAAGCACATTGATCCTAATAGACATCCATTGCAAACCTAGTTATCCTCCGGTCGAGCTAACTAGGTGAGTAAATACGCGATGCAATACATAGTAACGTATATCGTTTGATGCAAAAATTTCACCCTCGCCACTAAAAAAAAAAAACAAGTAAAAACAAGTGGAGGAATAATCCAGCTTGTGATGAGCTGCATCGACATATCATTATTAATCCAACAATGTTAAGCATTGAAAAAAAAAAACCCAAAAAAATGATTCAAGGAAGGATACAAAGATCTTGATGATCGCATTACAAAAATATTGAAGCTAGCTTCTACAGTGTGCCAAATCCGAGCTTCTATTCATTGTAACAAAGCAAGACATATCCTTAAGAGACCCCTTTTTGCCACTTGATTTTGGGGGAAAAAAAAAAGACTCACATTAATATTATTATTAATTATTAAATCATCCGTCTCCGGCGATCAGATCCATTAATTTGTCAGGACTTGAAAGTCCTTCGTGTTATACCACGAATCATGCATTCCCAGTTCATATACTAATATATTGATCGTACACAAAATGTTCTTTACGTACTCTTTTTTAATTAATTGCGCACTTCAATTCCTTGTTATTAGGCTTTTTGGTTTGCTTTCAGAATCAATACTCCCAAAATGGATCGCACAATCCTAACGAGAAGAATCGAAGAAAGGTCTTTGTTTTGTATGACAGGAATCCTTAATGCCAGTGGCAGCATTACTCTGCCACGATCAAATTTAATTAATTATATTTCAATGCGAACAAACAAAAATATTCCGTCGCACAAAGTGGTGTCCACCTTATACATATATATATCTTCATATGTGTGCATCATTTTCGTAAGCTGGGTTTGGGATTTTAATATTAGGCCACATGGTTTAGACATCTTAATTGTTCAAGACTAATTAAGTGCAGTATTTCGTTTAAACTCATTAGCTCAGCTCATTCCCAGTTTTGGACATGCAATGCTATCCTGTCCTTGTACTCTTTAACAGCGCCTTCGAGATCACACTACTCTAAAAATAAATAAAAAAGTTCTGGGAATTATAATAAGCATTTATGCCTTTTAGTAATTGATTTCTTAATTATTTGAATGCCTGGAATCAAATCTCCCAACAGTTATTTGAACTTTGAACTTCCATAATAAATTCTTACGGAATT